AGTCTTGCCGTTTCAACCATAGAATGTGGATAGTCAGTATATATTAAGTGGAGACATACAATGTCTCTCCTTTATAGTCTGGATTGCTTCACTCAGCAGTAAATATTCCATGTTCATCCACTTTCTATCAAAAGCCAGGGTCTTATTTTTTATGGCTGAGTAGTATTCCATAGAGTATATGTGCCACACTTTTTCAATCCATTCTTCTATTCATGGACATTTGGATTGGTTCCATGTCTTAGCAAATGTGAATAATGCCGCAATAAAAACAGATGTGCAAGCACTTTTCCAACTAAGAATTCTCCTTTCCTTTGTGTAGATACTCAGGAGTGGGATTGCTGGATCATATGGTAGTTCTATTTGTAGATCCTTAAGGAATCTCCATATTGTTCTCCACAGTGCCTAGACCAATTCACATTCCCACCAACAATGTAGGAGAATTCCTCTTTCACCACATCCCAGCACCTATTATTATTTTTTAATCTTAGTAATTCTGAGTGGGGTTAGGTGGTATCTCATTGTGGTTTTGATCTGAATCTCCCTTATGGTGAGGGATGTTGAATATTCTTTTGTATGCCTTTTGGCTGTCTGTATGTCCTCCTTAGAGAGTTGTTTATTCATCTCATTTTCCCATCTTTTAACGTGGCTAATCTTTTTTGGGGGTAAACAGCTTGAGTTTTCTGTGTATCCTAGTTATAAGTTCCTTTTCTGAAGCATAGTTTACAAAGATATTCTCCCATTCCAAGGGCTGTCAACTCACACTAATTATTGTGTCTTTTGCTATGCAGAAACTTCTTAAGCTGATGTAATCCCACTTGTCTATTTTGGGGATGACTGTGCTTTGGGGTCTTATTTAAGAAGTATTTGCCTACCCCAATGTCTCCCAAAGTTTCTCCAGTGTTTTCCAGCAGTAGTATTATAGTTTGAGGTCTTAGGTTTAGATCTTTGATCCACTTTGAGTTGATTTTTGTCAATGTTGAGAGATAGGGATTCAGATTTATCTTTCTGCAGGCGGATACCCAGTTTTTCCAGGACCGTTTGCTAAACAAGTTTTCCTTTTTCCCAAACAAGTACCCTTTGTCAAAAATCAGGTGACTGTATGTTTTGGGGAGAAGTTGACTTTAAGTGAGCAGAGAGAAGCACCCTGCAGAATGACTGACTATCATATTGAGGAGAAATGCCAACTCACTGACAAGCTTAGTGCTAGGGTGTAACATCCTAGGTTCTTTTTTAAATTATTTTTTATTTCAATTTCTTTTATACATTCAATCATATATGTCACTTAGCTTGCAAAGTGGATATTCCAACATGAATAGCGAGGCAAGGCATTTATGGAACAAAGAAATGGGTTATGATAATGTGTATAGTATTCTCAGCTGGATTGGTGAAAATCCTAGGTTCTTTAGATCCAGGTCTTTAAGAGACATGCCTTGAGATGCAGAATAAAAACTCAAACACATACAAATTAAGAAAAAAAAGTTTTAATAGAGAAACAGGATTTCTAATAGGAAGGATATACACGCCCCCACACACACCTGAAAGGCATATGAGTGGGCAACTGTCAGAGACGGACAATTGCCAGTTGCCTAACTTCTTAGTAGAACCAGTAAGCCTTAAAAATAACCAGGAAGCGACCAGCAATTGGAGTAATGGCTATGCTGCTGGACTCTCATGTAGTCGACCACGGTTCGAGTCCCGAACTCAGTGGCTTAAACTCATGCTGGGCATGTGTGCATGCATGCCTAGGATTCCAAGAGGAGACTGGAAGAGAAGGGACTGCAGCGTGTCCATCCCCCCTGGGGGGGTGCGATTTATTGCTTTCTGTCTCTGTCTCTCTCTGTCTTTCTGGTGAGCGCATGTGCCCTATAGCTAAAACCTACAAAAATAAATAAATAAATAAATAAATAAATAAATAAATAAATAAATAACAGGAAAAAGATTATGGAAGCCAGAAAAAATTACTTGCATAGAGTAAGGTGCTTCAATCCATGTAGGATATAGCAAAGCAGTTCCAGGGATATACAATCTAAAGAAACTGCCTTTTCTATTAGCAATTGGCATGGCTCTGCTAATAACTATGAAAAGAAAAAAAAAATTAATTTCTACTAGTGAGACTACAGTGATAAGACACATTTTAAGAACTGATGTCGTCAAGTTGTGTGATGTGGAAGCTACTTCTTTCAAAGCATCAGATTTTATAAGGCAGGAGCCTTATAAATCCTCCAAAGTAATAAATAACCAGTGAGACAGGATATGGGACTTAACAAAGACTTGCATTGGAAAAACAGATTGTTTTCAAAAGTATTTTAGATATAAGCCCTAAAAATGATTTACTATAAAACAGAAACAGCAACATATTTTATGGAAGTCAAATAAAAATGCAGAAATAATTCTTAGGAAAGTTGTTGTGGTTGTTTAAAATACCACTGTAATCACACATTTAAAAAATGGCATATAATTGCATAAGAATTATATAAAGTAATTTGACAGATCCTACCTTTTTCAGGATCCGGACTCCATAGGTAAACACGTAAACGAAAAATGAAAATCTCCACCTACAGAAAGTTAAAAAATTATATGATGTTCCATTTATATATTTCACAGAATATTCTAAATTACATGAGAAAATAAAGTTCATTAAATCTGTTCTACCACAACCAGGGATTAAACTTTGAGCAATTTCAGTGCTAGCTGAACATACACACTTGTATGCATGGCTTCTAGCAAACATTATTTATAACTTAACTTTTCTTTCAGTTAGTTATATTTGTGTATTTGCTCATCTCTTTCCCCAACATGCGAGTATATTCTTGTTAATTGCTCATGAAAGGGTATGACACTATGAAGGCATATACAATACTTTTAAATTATTTGTCTGATTCAGATATTAAGTAACTAATTTGGCTTAACTCATATTTGTTTAAAAAATATAAGCCTCAATATATTAAAAGTAGGTCAAATTTCTTTGCCTTAGAAGTGTCTTTGCGGATGCTACTAAAAGAAGGCATAAAGGATCTTAAAAACTTCAAATTAAAATTGTAAGTTACAAACTTAAAGCATTGAAAACTGTAGGTCTAGCTGTTAGACTTTGACCTTATTTTGGTCATAATGCACACGCAGTTGCCAGAGAGCAAGGGAAAAATTACCCCGCATGGGGCATGGTTGCTCTGAAGTCCCTTCTTCCTCTATTTCTTCATCTCATCAATATTTGGGGCACACAGGCACACGTGACAGGCATATTTTCATGGCCATGTGGGATCTGGTTCCCCATGCCTGATTTTTAATTGCTGCACTATGAGGATGTTTTAACAAAAGAAAAAAAATTCCAGTTTTCTTTTATTAATAATTTTGCTGATTGAAATGTTTTATTGATAATTCTTTTAAAACATAAGCTATACTAGAGATCTTCGAAAAGTTCATAGAACCATGTATGGATTTCAGAACTTTTTGTGCCCAAATAAATTTAGAATTTAATTCCATTTTTTGGGAAGTTTTTGAAGTCCCTTCATGTGTGTGTGTGTGTGTGTGTGTGTGTGTGTGTGTGTGTATTTGCATATTATAAAAATGTTCTTACCTAGTACTCAATTCCCAATTTTATTTCTTGTACTTATGAATACCTATGCCTTTAAAAGCTGACTGGATTTCTCTAAAGTGCATTCTTGGTGTCATGTTATTAATGGTATCAAGAGTTACAAGTTATAAATTAATACAAAAGGGGAAAGATTGGTCAACTTTAGTTAATTAGAAAGCACACTGGTTTTTGTTGTTATTTTGGTTCTAAGCCATGTAAAAATTTCAAATGAGATAAAAATAAAAGTTGATAGGAGATGATTCAACTTAAATATAGAATTACCTGAAAGAAATGATCATTATATTCAGGTAGAAACAAAAAATAATGATTAGGGGCCTCTGAAAGCTGGGTAAGACTCAAAGCAGACCCAAGACTTCCATGGGCAGAGTCTTTCCTGGGTTGACCGACTCTTCAAACACTCTAGAATTCAAATTAGAACATTTAGAGAAGAGTTTTGAAATTCAACCTTAAAAATCTTCAACTAATAGCTCATAAGACTTGAATTCCAGAAGGAATAAAAACTGGTAGAAGCAGTCATGATTTAACAAAAGCCTCCAAACAATATAAAAGAGCAATGACTGTGAAATCTCATACAAATGCCCTCTTGGTAGTAAAGACGATTCATTTATTATAATATAAAAGTCAAAAATTTAATTTTAACACCATCTCTATTACCAATTTCTTTGTATCTGTAAGTGAGAGCATACGTAGGTTTCTTTCTGTTTGGATGTATGGATTCTATTAGGTTGTCAGGAAAATCATGAGGTTTTTCTATGCAAAAACGTGTCTTTATTTTTCCAACAACCCAATAGACCAGGTTTAAAATCAGGGATGGCTGCATGTGACTTATGTAGTCACACAAGACCTTATGCTTAATTAATGCTTTGCTGGTGCCATCTTCAAATTCTTAATACTTGTTGAACATTGGGTCCACCATTTTACTTTGCATAGGGTCCTACAGATTATGTAGCTGGTTCTCGTTGAAACCCATAGATTCTCCTAACTTCGGACGAATCTGTTAATGCCCCTCCAGCTCAGCTCCATTTCTATCATAGGAAAGTGGGTTCACGCCACAATCATGACTTGAAGACTTGGTAGCACAGGTACTCTCCACTATTCTCTGGCTTCTCACATCATCTACTATATTACATTGAACTAACCTGCATAATGTTTTCACCTTACTTCTCTGGTCACAGGAAGCATATGAATTTGCAATTCTTAAATGATTTATAATAGCTATTTCAGCTCTAAGACTAGTTAGAGGGCAATGATCAGGCAGTTTTTAATGTATGATAAAAATTTTATTGAAGTCATTGGACTTCTAAACATCACTTATATATTAACATTTTATTTCATCACTAAAATGACCCAGTTTTCTTAAGTTTTTTTTTTTTTTTTTGTAGCTTCTATTACAAGAACACTGATCCCTCCATCATTTGAATAACAATTTGTGGTGAATATTTATAAGGCACAGTTTATTTCCACAAACACCTGCAGGAAGCAGCAGAGTTTTCAGCATTCTACCACATAAAAAACATACTCTATTTGTGGAGTTTCGTACAAGTAACAGTTTTAAATACTAGGTATCTTCTCTCACATAGCCTCTCCCAACTTTCCAATAAAACATATAGGGACCAGCAGTTAGTGTAATGGCTATGTCGCTGGATTCCCACGTAGTCAATAGCGGTTTGGGTCTCGGATCCGGAGGCTTAAACTCATGCTGGGCGCGTGTGCGTACATGCCCAAGATCCCAAGAGGAGAATGAAGGAGAAGGGATTGCGGCGTGGTCATCCCCCCTGGGGGGTGATTTCTCACTTTCTTTCTCTCTGTCTCTCTCCATCTTTCTGGTGAGCGCACATGCTCTATAGCAAAAAACAAAAAACAAACAAACAAACAAACAAAACCCCACCTCTCTAATAAAACATATAGAAAAAGAGAGATGGGGATGGCTCTGCGGCCAGCAGTGTACTGCTCAAGAGAGGCCAGCTACCACATGGCAACTGAGGTTAAAATCCCTGGCTCAGTCAACTTGAAATGTACCAGGCAAGGGCCCAAGTGACCAAGATCCAAGAGTGGAAGCGTACTGTAGTATAACCAGACTCCACAGAGGATGCTCCTCCCTTTCTCCCCGTTGCTTGCTCTCTTCACACGCATACTTTATCATGAATAAAGAAAAAGAATTTTTTTAGTTTTTTCCGTAGGGTGCGTGCATGAGACAGAGGCAAAGTGAAAAATCAGCTCACAGGGAGGATGACCATACCACAATCCATTTTCCTCCATTCTTTTCTCAGGATTTTGAGCACACAAACACATGTGATTTTTAAGCCACCAGGTCCGGGATTTTAACGATGGTCAGCCATGTGGGAGTACATCACCTGAACCATCACACCACTGCCTGGCCTCAGGAAAATATATTTTTTAAATAGGAGAGAATTAAAGATGTATGCAACCACAAAAAGGAAGGTATGACCTTCAACCTATCCCTAGAATAAGGAATGAATTCCTACAACAGAAAGAGTAAAATTAGATTTGATAGTGTGATTAGAAATGATAACAAACAAGTTATAAAGTCTTTAAAAGAAAGTGGGGAAATTTTTATCTGTATCATTCCCTACCTCCATCTTCTGCCATCTCATACAGGAGTGCAGAAATCTGTTTTAATCAGAAACCTGAACAGCTGTTTGTCATGAATAATGATGTTTTTTAAGGCAGCAGCAGAATTGCCCCAAACTAGTTAGTGATTGCTACTACTTATTTTATTTATTTACATTTAACCACTGTACATCCTAACAGTGTACAAATTGTTTTTTTTCAAGGCAGACAGTCATCGCCTATCAATCAATTCAAATATATTACTATATGCATCTTCCTTGACAGATAACTTTCCATTGTCGTGTCTGTTAAATGCTTTTTTCTTGTGCTTTTAAGACAACTAGGAAGAAACCCATCTGCAGTGGTGTGAGTGGGAGAGTGCCACTATATGTAATGACTGAGGCCGCACGTGGACTCCAGTTGTGTGCACTTGTGGTCCTGGCTAACCGAGGAGCTGGGGTAGAGGATCATCACGTGGTGAGGCTGTCAAAGAAAAAAAAAAAAACTTCCCTTTTTAACTCCCTCTCATGCTCTCACTCTCTCTCATTTGAGGAAAGAAAAAAAGGCAACTGGGAAGAAGTACTTTGCACCCTGGCAGTTTTGATTATAGAAAAGCAGATTTAGGGGAAAGATGATCTGTGAAGGTATTGCATTCAAGGGGTTGGAGTTCTTACATAACTCATGTTTAGGATGTCTGGAAAGTTATGCTGTAGAATTCTATGTTTTTCTAAGCAAAAGGCATCTTGATTTTTCCAAAAACCTAAAATAAAGCAACAGAGAACAAGGCATTGGGAAGAGCTGCTTTGAATGAACTCTTCTAGTCACTGAAAATGGGTTGGAGCCTGTAAAACTCAACCTGCTACAAGGTCGGAGACCTAAAAGAGGACTTTTACTAACAACCACGAGGATAGAGAGGCGGCCAAGAGCAATCTATTTATCTTCTCTGTGAGCAGGGCTAGATGGATAGTTTGATATTCAGGAATGAAACTGCTAACTGTTTATATTAGTCCAACTAAATAGTACTGAATATGAAAATAAGAGCATACTAAAAATTCAAAGGAAGAACTGTCTCCTAAAAATTTCCTAGAGAAATCAAAAGTTCTTTTTAGGAAAGCACTGTCTAGATCCTCTCCAAAGCTCTGACATTAAATAATTATGCTGTCAATACGATATAAGAAGATACAACCCCTAAAAACAAAAGTAGAAAGATGTAAGTCAACAAAAGTTTGTTGAATAAGAAAAAAATGATAGGTTAATAAGTATATGGTTCTAAAAATGAGGTGCTTCTTTATTATCCACATGAGGGTGGAGGGGAATGTAGACCATATAGTGTAAAATTAAATAATTGACATAGAAGGTTAATCATCCTGTAAGACCAGAAAAAGAATAGAA